CAGACAAGGTCTTGTTGAAAAACTTTTCAACATCTCCAAGAGTTGAACCTCCCCGCTTTTGTGATGAATTAAGAAAAGTGTTTCAAGTGTTTGTTGATCACCCAGATCCACACATCACCCTTTTTCCTGACAACCAGGGTAAAATTTATGGTATGAATGATGAGGGACTTTGGGAACAATTGCAATATTGATGATTACTGTTATATTAAGCCTAAGATTTTTTTTTTTTTTTCCCCTCATGATTGTTATGTATCTTTGTGGAATATTATTAGTATGAGCGGATAGAACTTGTTAGAGCTTGAAGCAACTCATATTTTCCTCATTTATCAGGCTTTGATTCATTCTTTTCTATTTTCTACCTCAGTTTTCTGTCAATATTAGAATGTAGAGTTACCAGTTTGATTTTAGATTCTCCTTTTCACTTACCTTAAAAGTATTTTGATATTTAAGATGAACAATTTAAGAACAAAGTTATGATGGCATTTTTTTTTTCTGATGTGAAAAGGAGTATTTGATGTTGATCCAAGTAATGTGCTTTGATATTTGAAATGTGATAGGTAATGCAAGAATCAAACATGTTTAATTGACTTTGATTAAATACGTAACTGTGATCTCATGTGTTTTAGTATGAAAGCTTTTGTTAATTTATGCTTTTCTTTACATTCACAAAGTTGCTATTTGTGGTCCAGGACATTTTCAGATTGAAACAGAATTTACAGGATTGCAATTTGGGAATCCCTCGACTGCAGAGCTTGCTCTGTGACAATACTGTATATTGTTCTTTTGAGAGAGTCTAAAGGTTCTACCTTCCATATTGTAGCCAATGACTAATTATTAAGTAACACCAATTTCACACCATAATGGATCCTCATTTTCTGGAGGTATTTTATATTTTGGTCTTCCTAGCAGAAGAAATACTATATTTAACTCAGCCTTGTGATGATAATCAATATTACGCTTGTATTCTAGGCAATTTCCTTGCTTACGTATGTAAACCATGTTTTATGATTTGTATTTACTCATTTTGATGTAAAAAAGGTTTCATTGCAATTAATTTTTGAATTTTTGATTTTGCTAGTAGATGTATAAGATAGGTTTATGAAATAGGTTCAAGATAGCAGGTAACCGGTGGATGAGAATTGTTGCCTTGGATGGGATCCAGTAATCAAACTTTGTGAATTAACAAATGCATCTGCACCTTGACATATGTGTAGAGAATGTATTAGCAACAATTTTGTTAAAAGCTCCTTATGAAATTTCCCTTATTCAAATCTTGCTGAATATAGATATTATATCCATGGATGTGGCATTTGTACTAGTTTTTACATCACCTTTTATATATGATCTCACAGGTCAAAAATGTTATGAGGTTTTAATCAGTGACAGCAGTTGTGATGAAAATTTACCAGTATTACAATAGCTATCACAATACCAATGAATACATTGAATAAAGTAATTGTTTCTACAAATAGGATATCTTTAACCTTCTGTATGACGCATTGTCTTTACATTGCCAAGGATAAGTTAAAGTTAAGTATGCTTTGTTGAAGAGCTAAATTATTTAGTATTAGAGAAATGGCTAAATAAAAGTATAGACAAAAATCAAATATGACTTATTTTATAGCTTGTTTTATAAATGAGGACACAAAGTTGATAAGAGGCAGATGATTGTGGAGAGATTCTAGGGACTACAAACTAATGTAAGAAATTTTCTTTACATGCCAGGTGTGGAATCAAGTTCAGAATACTCGTCCCCTCTGATCAGGCAGACCCAACATCATGTATTCAAAATGCATAAGTGCAGTCCTCCTTTTGGCCCTTGCTGTGCTGGCAGCATGTGCCAAGGATTACTATGAAGTTTTGGGGATACGCAGAAGTGCATCTGATCGGGAGATAAAGAAAGCTTTCCGCAAACTTGCAGTTCAGTACCATCCAGACAAGAATAAGGAGCCTGGCGCCGAGGAAAAGTTTAGAGAAATTGCGGAAGGTAAAATTTAATTATCGTTTTCTTTTATAATATAGAACAAAATAAAATAGTGTTCAATGTATGACTTTCATATTGGTACTTTCTGGAAGTTAACTTCCATATCCTTAATGTCCTGGTTATCCACAGCATATGAGGTCTTGTCTGACGAGGACAAGAAGCGTGAGTACGACTACATGGGCCATGCTGCCTATGCCCAGAAGTCTGCTGGTGGAGGTGGAGGACAGTACAGCGATCCCTACCATTTCAACTTTGATGATTTATTTAGAGAATTTGAATTTGACAATGATTTTGGAAACTTTGGAGATTTCAGACACTTTCGTGATTTTGTGAGTATCTTGCATATTTTTTGTATACATGAGAGCATGTAAAGATCTGGGCTTGGGCTTACTAATGCTGCATGTGAAAAGAAAAGTCAAGTTGCTTTATTAACCTATTGGATCAAGATCCAGTGGGTTGATAAAGCAGTTGCCATCATGTGGCCCAAAATACAGGCATTAGGTGTACATGAGTGGACATTCATTATGTAGGTTGGGCGCAAATGGACAGTCATGTGACAAGAATTCATGCCTCCCCTTTGCAGTGTTATTTTGTCTGTTGTGGCATTATTTTTGGCTTTTGTGCCATTTTCCTATGTCTATATTTGTCATATGATTTGCTTTATTGAGATGGTGATAGACTGTTTTCCTTGCATAGACTCCATATCATCTCTCTAGGCAGTCTCTAATGCAGTGCAATAATGATAACAATAAGTAACATTTTATTTGCCTTTTTTTCCATAAAATTAATTTTTCTGTGGTACAATCTGCGTCACCAGTCTTGGCAGGCAGGAATAGTATCCTAAGTATAGAAATAATGTCATCCCTGGAGCCAGTGCTCTTCCAGTTACAGCTCACAGATGTTACATTCCACACTCGTTTATTGGTGGAAATAATACAAAAGCCCCTTCCTAAATACTAAATGATTCTAATCACCCTCCAAGAGGTTTGTCCACTTGTGGCGAGTCTTTCTAGTCACCTTGGTTCACGGCCAAATTTTCCCATGAAAGCATGTTCACATCACCTGCCCCTCAAGCTAGATTTTTTCATGACGTGATAGTCATATTGCCTGGATTGTAAGGGATAATGTAGAAATGGTCTGAGTGAGAATGAATACCTTCATGGTAGAAGAGGTGTATTTGATTGGTTTTGATTGTATCTTTGTCAGAAATACATATAATCGAAAATGGTCAAATACATCTTTTGCACTCGTTCATATCTTTTCTACATTTGTCACAATAAACACAATTAATTGCTTTATTAACCAAGAAATGCTCTGTGTGCTGGGTGAATGTCTTGTGAATGATTGTTGGCTTGAAGTGTATAAAAGAGATTAAAGTATGAAGAGTAAGGATAAAAAAAAACTATTTACATGAATATTTAGTCATGTGCTCTTTTGAGGAACTAACTGAAAATCAAATACACATAAATTTAATGTTTGTTTGTGTTCATTTGTAACACATTTGCTTAGCTTTTTTCTTCTGATAATATATTTGGTTATTTTTGTAGTAATTACAATATCATGAATATATACTTTGCTTAGAGTAATATTTCATGTATTAAATGCATGTCCATGTTACCTTGCATGTCTGGAAATGGGTTATTGAGCTGATGTAGTTGAGTAGTTCTGTGCTTTTCCTTAGTAGAGGAATGCATGCCTATAAAGTAGAGAATTCTGTAACCTTGTTTTCCTTGTCTTCTTGGAGGTAAGCTTAATGTTGTACTAATTATTGCTTGCTCTAACTGATCATTAAAGCCTGCAGTGCAACATTATTTGGGATTTGTACATGTATGCTGTATCTTGCTATCACATTCTGTGAAACACTATATGTCAGATAGAGGAAACTTCATGACTGTTTAGCAAGTAATTGTAACTCTTGTATTTAGTAATGATTCTATATGACTCCTGAGGTAGGTCCAGATTCAGGTAAGCCTTCTGAAGACTAGCTGAAATGAATGGAAACAAGTTAGTTGAGATTTCTTTTTAGTAGTATGTCAATATTTGTCTTCTTATTTTCTGTAGATTCCGTAAATCAATCACTTGGAAGGTAATGCAGCATGCCAAGTTTTGCTAAACATCTACTAATACATTTATCTTAGAAACTGACTAATGTCTTATATAGGGTATAGTTAGTTGTGAGGAAATAGTCAAGTATTAGAATATGGACCCTTTCCACACATGCAGGGAGATGGATTCATGGACATGGAGGACTTCTTTGGTGGAAGAGGAGGAGGCTTTGGCCATGATGCCTTTGGCTCTCACGATTCATTCTTTGGGGGTGGCCACTTCCAGCACACAGACCACATGAGGCGGCACCAGCAGGCCCACAACAAAGCTCACTATGGTGGTCGGGCACATACCTACCAACAGCAGCAGACGCGGTTCTCAAGTGGAGGAAATGGTGGGAGGACCTGTAGGACTGTCACGCAGAGAGTAGGAAACATGGTGACCACCTATACCACCTGCAACTAAATTTATGGGTGATGATGCTTTTCACCCATAGTGTAAACCATAGTCATTATTCACTCATATATGTTTACTTTGCTTGGCTCAGTTTTTAAGCAATAGTGTTCAGAATCATTCATTCTCTAGGGACAGGTCATCTATAATACATCATGGACAGATCTAGTCAGCTAGGTAATTCTCCCTCTCTCTCCCCCGAATCTAAGGGGATCTAATGGAGAGTGTAGCATTGATAGATGCATAATAGCATCATTTATGGTTGACATAGGAATACATGTTTGTAGTTTTCCTCACCATAAACCAAAAAATCCTGAAATATGTCAAGAAAATGTGGCACCGAAGTCAATGAGGACTTTTACCTACCCTGATCTGCTTGTGTTATAACTAATGATAGGTATACTTTTGTTTATGATATTCGTTTCCTTGTAAACATATATTTTTTGTCAGTGAAATGCAGCATAAGAAATTTGAACTAGTCATATAGATCCATTAAAGGAAATATTACTTTTTTTCATTGTTTTACGGTTATAATCAACTTTCTTTGTATGGGTGTGTGTTACATTATCATCCTGTATTCAGTCATGATTAAGTTATTGTTGTGTGACTATTTTTACTTGATAATGGCACTTAACATCCTTATCAAATGTGTGTATATACTCAGTTTTCATGATATTGACTGGCATGATGAGTGCGCCAACAAGGATAGGTCTTATTATTTTCCTCTAGTATATAGTGTACGACACCTCATGTAAAGGAATTGGTACCCCACTTGCATTTTTCTATTTGCTGAAAACTGCACGTTATTATTTTTTCTCTATGTATTCTTCCTTTATTTTCAAGTATTATTTGTTTTTGTTTTTTCTTTTCCCTATATGTCTGTTGTGTAGAATGTTCAGTTTTTGTTAAATGGTCTTCCATTTATGTGATTACTGAAGGATGGAAATTACAATATATATATCAGATTGTGATTTATTTTGAGTTTTGTGAAAAAGTGTGTTGTGTATATATATTTATAGTATATTTTCAATGGGCAAAAATAGGTTATTCATTTTGAAAAAAAAGGTTTTTGTTATATTCTAAAAGTATACCCATGTGTCTGTGATATTAAATGTATATTTATCCACCATGTGGAGTTGGGAAGTTGAATTGCAGTATAATCAGTTTTATATGAGAAATAAATATTTTCATAAAATGTCCTGGTATTCTTTCTCCCATCTCTAAGGTGTATGAAGACCTTGACAACAGTAATATTTGTAAAACAAAAATCAAACTTTAAGGAAGCACACAAATGTTTAGTATTATTATTATTAATGAGAACCAGGAAGTGCAAGGAAGAAATCCAGTAGGTTTTTTGCTCAGAACCCAGCTTAGTGCAATATGAAGTCAGAGGTCCAGCAAAGAAGAAAAATATATCAATGGTTACCAGTAGTTTTATAACAAACAAGCAAACAAAAATCTGATGCCCACTGATCTGGCTGCATCTGTATTGCGATAGAATAGAAGAAAAATTTTGAAGGCAGAAAATTCTCTTGTGAAAAAGTCAAAACCTTCATGCCTTTGGAAAGGTAGTTGCGAAGCTAAACAATTTTCAATCACTTTATATTTTATTCCAAGTCCAACACAAGTGCAAGATATGATAAATAAAAAAAATCAAATTAATTCTTATACCATTTACAAAGACTATTATACAAACATGTAATCCATCTAATATTATATAAATCAACTGGAATTTTGGTACATCACAGGTATGTAAACATGATTTAAAACCCTTCCATCAGAAAGCAAATTTTCTCCTCTCAAGAACAGTGATTGTTGTAAATAAATAAATAAATGAAACCTTTAATGTTGCCACTTTCGAAACTCGAGCATATCTGCAAGAGTTCTGTTATTAGATTATATACAACTGTTCCTCTGTATCTTCTCAATATCACTGACTACTTTCTTAGCAATGAACTATCCATGAAAGGGTCTGCAGTGCAAGTTAATGGGGTTAAGTTCTTCAGATAATGACCCATTATACACTGCTTAAAGCAAGGCATTTAAATCAAACTTGAAAAAAGAGACAATAAAAAAAATTACAATCCAAAAGATATCCCAAACACCTTGATATTACGGAAGATGAAAACAAACATTCAATGGATAAAGCATCTACACAATCGGTTGTGCCCATGACCCTTACTCACATGGCTGAGTTGATATGTGGCTTCAAAACTGGCAGTAGCTGGTACTCTCAGCAGGTGGAAGTGTGGTATGACCATATTTGGTGTTTACTCAACCATGGGCATGGCCACTTAGCTGGTATGCATGTTAAAATTGACCAACGACAGGCTAAACATCTTATGCCCAATGGGCATACCCAATTATGTGAATACAGAATAACACACTTAAGCACCACAGACGGTTAGTCCTACAGTGACAACAAATTTGATCAAACATTAATTTAAAGAACATGTGTTGCTTTCCTGTTGCCACAACTATGAAATTGAGATTTGCAGGTACACTGAATAATCAATAAACAAATACACTTAAACACATTACTTACAACTGATGTGAATTGTTTTCAGTGTCACACAGTGCATATAACTATGGTAATGCCTCTAAATTTTGGAATGAATCCTCTGATAATAACTGCAATCGTATGTTCACAAATAATGCTAATAAAAAATATATATAATAAATATTCATAATCTTTCATATCCCAGACTTTTACGATTATGATCTGAGTCTGCATTTGCGTACTCCTTTCCTGTATCACCCTTACAGTAAGCCATGACAGTTGAAAAAATGAATTTGGACTGCAAATTGGCTTAGCTTCTTAAATACTTCCCCAGTCTGTATTCTTGGAAAGTCCACACCCCTAATCAAATCTAGTCTAATCCTAAAAAAATGTGACCATGTAAAAAAGAAAAAAAGAAAGAAAAGAAAAGAAAAAAAATCTGGAACATTCCAAGGATTTATGAAATTTGGACCAACGCCTTTCTCTCAGTGTACACACATGATGAAACATTGTTGCAGTACTGGCATAAGAAAGTTTATCTAAGGAACATCTGTAAACATTCATACTGCAATATACTCTGTATCAAGAGATCAGAATCTTATAAACATGAGAATTTTATCAATTGTACCAATCCAGAAGAAAAATACTGATACTATTCTTAATTGCTTTCTTGACTTCTAAGACAGATACACTTTATATATATATATAAAAAGTAATAAATTACTGTATATCCTCTATTATTAATTGTCATAAAAGTATCTATTTAACACTGTTTAAACACTTTTTTCATATATATCCATTCCATATAACATGAGTAATTACAAAATACACAGCACATTTTAAAAAGATGTATATAAAATATAATAAATATTTCATACATTCTACAGGAAGAGCATTAAACACCTTTATAATTAATGCCCAAAGGAGGCATATCTTGTGCACTGATCTGTCATGCTAGTCAAAGTATTTCTGAGCAAGAGACAATCTCACCTTACACATTATATAAATCACAGTTAAACATGTATATATGTCTTCTTTTTGCATATACCCATTGAATTAATTCTATAAAATTACATCCTGATAGACAATCATACCATAAGATGGCTGGGCATTCTATATTAGGTCAGATAGTGTTTGGAAAAGTTACCTGCTCCGACCCAAAGTCTGGTGCAAATGTTCTCAATACTCGTAAAGATTTTCTTCTCAAACAAATAATCCCTCTTCATTTATCTATTTTTCATATAAAAAGGTGTATGGATCATTCTATACCATTCTGTTTCAACCTTTACCTTAGAATCAACCTTCACTTTCCCAGAATGCTCAATACATCTAAACTATTTGAAATCTGAATAACATTAGATCAAAGGTAACTAATTTTCAACTGAGAGCTGGACTATGAACAAAAGTCCTCATAAACTCTCTAGGGCTAATTTAATCCCAAACCTTTGGAGTGTATCATGTAAGCTCACTCACTACCTTCTACAGAGGAGCTGCTCTATTTCCATGACAAATACTTAGCTCCTGTACATTTATAACACCGACAGAATTATCACTTAAACAAACATAAAAGAATAGCCAACTTCTGTAAGCATAAAGAAAAATATTCTCTTTCAAATGATTGTTTTCAAATCTGGAAGAAACAACTACAGTAATAAGAGGGAAGAAGAAAGATAAACAGTGTTCAAAGCAACAAATGTAGAAAACGTATGAATGAGAATGAATATCTTCACAGTAGAAGATGCATTTGGTGTCAATTCTATTTTTGTCAGAATGTGTATTCGCATTTCTGACGAAGACATAATCAAAACCGGTCAAAAACACGTCTCTTGCATTCTGAAGATATTAATTCTCATTTATACCTTATATGCAAAGAGAAGTAGGGGTAAAAAACAAAACAAACATGAAAGCAGTGAACATCAAGATACATAGTCAGCTGCCTCTCCCATCTCCCACAAATCAAGAGGCAGCGCATGAGGGAAGGAGACTACATTGCCAACCTTTCCCTTTTGATGAGTTGACCTGAATATGAATGGATGGTTAAAATGGATGGAAGGAGAAGGTACTTACTTACACATGGACATCGACTACAAGATCAATCACAATTGCAATGTGCTGCCCATCATATATCTAAATTGCTTTCTTTCTTACAGCTTATTTTAAACATCAATTATAAAGACCTCATTACAAGCTTTTGCTCCTAAATTTAGTAAAATAATAAATACAAAGGAGTAAGGAACTCTTATCCATGCTTTCACTACAGTAGCAACAACTATATGTAGTCTTCTGTACATCTGTGAAGGCCAAAACAACTACATAAATGGTGGGAACCTAGATACACATATCTCTAAAGTGAAAAACAAATTAACAATGAAAAGAAAAGAAAAAAATACTGCTTTCACATGAAAATGAAAAGTAAGATGAGTAAAGAAGAATGTGATTGCTTTCTTCTACCCTAAATTAAGTGCATCTATTAAATATGAAAAAAAAAAAAAAAAAAAAAAAAAAAAAGTGACCAGTCAAATGCACACCCATCAAAATCACTGTAAATCAACAGCATTTCTAAACCCCACACCAGATTCATCGTTAAACAAAGCAACAACCATTCTCCTTTGAAACTATCACACGATAAACCCTCTACCCTGACTAGCTCGTGCTGCGATGTTGATGGCAGACAACACAGAGGGTCTGAGGCGGGGTGACACGTAGAGCTTGATACGAGGGGGGTTGCCAGACGGATGGTCCCCTTCTTCCGAGGAGGCTGCCGAAGAGTCAAGCCCGGCGTCCATGCCTTCGCTGCAGGTGCTTCTGACATAGTCTGCCACTCGCTCTGGGCAACCACTGACTGGCTGCAGAATCCAAATAAATAAAAAACATGAATTTTGAGGTCATAAAAGACATCTAAGAAAACAAGATTACATGCCTAATAAATAAGATAATAATGATATAAATGAAAATGTCTTACCTCCATATCTGAATTCTGTGGCTTGGGCTCAGGCTGAACTTTCTCAATGTAGAAGAGAGTTGGGTCATTAGGGTGAGGGCGCCATGTGACCTCAGCCAAAGGCAGTGCATGCTGTTGGGCATCCTCTTCCACACTCAAGATGAAGAGCACCTGATAACGTCATGAAAAAACCCACATATATCTTATGCATATATATATATATATATATATATATATATATATATATATATATATATATATATATATATATATATATATATATATATATATATATATATGGAGGATGGAGGTACATTCTTTAATAAGAACTAAATAAAAGAATCATACTAACACTCTGAGGTGATGAATATACAGTATAATGAGGCAAAAATTCATGGCCTTCCTCCAATGCACCGCAAGGAAATGGACCTTTAGCCAACCACAACACACCTGAGGAGTCAGTAGCACAGTGACAGGAGTGTAAGTGCCTGCAGTTGTCAGATGTGTTGCATCAACCGCAGCCAACACAGCCTGGCACTCCTGGGGCAGCGCAGCGACAAACTTCCACACCAGCTTCAGTGGAGCGTTGACCTCCATGCAGTGCGGTTCCACGAGTGGGGGGAAACGAGGGACTTGCTCACGATGCCAGCCTGCGCCCTGCAGAGACAAGCCAAGTTTAAAAATCATATCCCTTGTACATAAATTCTGAGAATTCATTACTCTCTACTGGATGAAATTAGACAGCTGAAGTTGGTTATCTAACTGAGTATATACCACATGCAATATTTGAAAGAGAAATTTACCTGAAGTAATCCCTGGCCTGTGTGAACCAGAAGGTCAGCAGCGCCTCCTATGGGCTTTGTGACAATGCCCACCAGCCCCTTGCCCACACCGCCAACCACACTCTTTGCTGTCAGCCCATCATTCATCAGAGCTTGCATGGGTTGGTGTGCTAGTCCTCCAATAGCACCTAGAAAAAAACAGCCCATATAATATAAATACATATAAATATACAGTTGAGAAGAACATCATTCTCTAATCTGGGATTCCCTGATGCAGCAAATTCCATAGTTAAGGATTATGATTTGAATCTGGCAATTTAGTTAACATGAGAGGTGCCTGGTCAGCCATGGCAACATTAAGGCTCGATCTTGATAATCTGTATTTCCTATTATATATAGCTGAAAATGTATTTTTTTTTTTTTTTTTAAATTCTTCTATTGCTTTCAATAAAGAAAATAATTTCTCATGACATATCACTACACTTTTGCCAATGCTAAGCTTGAAGTAATCTACCCTCAACACAAAACCAAAGACCAAAAAAATAAAACGTGTTACCCAGTAGAGATATTCCAAAGGCAGACAATCCCTGCATCAGCCCATGCGCAAGGCCCGATGGTTGGTAGCGTCGCCATGCTTCACTGCGAGCAGCATGGTCTTGGTCCAATGACAGCCGCTCCATGTTGCGAGCCACAGAACTTGCCAGATTTGTGAGGGATACAACAGTTCCTAGAGCAGAAAATAAGAAAACACGGATTTCATTTGTAAATTATATGTACATTAATGCCATTATTTTAATATTCAAATCTTTTGTAACATAAAAACCATAAGTCATGGCATAATAAATATTTTCCTTTGAGAGTAGAGACCTAAAACAACAATTATTACTAACCTGCCGTAAGGTGTTTGACCAAAGACATAGAGCCGTGTGTCACACCAGCTATGAATGCCCAGGGACCTTGAAGGATCCCTTCATAAGGAAGTTGCACAAAGTCCTTGATACCAGACCCAACAGTCCTGGCGAATCCTCCAGGATTTCCCAGCAGGTCCAGAGATCCAACAACCCAGCCAGCTCTTATGAGTGCTCCAGACAAGAAGTGCATAGTGAGATTATGACCCAAACTGTAACTTGTCGTCATAATGTCCGTACGCTGGAATCCCCCAAAGCTGAGTGGTGACTGATCCAGAGCTATGTATAGCTTGACTGAGGCATGGACACTTAACAAAATGGAAATTGGGTCAATGATCAGGTGACTCATATGGATGGGGTGTGTCATAGCATTGGACTTGACAAGGACTTCTTGGGGCAATTTCATGACAATAGGCAAGTTTTCCTCCTCTTCATTCTCTTCCTTTTCTGCAATCATATTTGAAACTTTGTGCTTAGAGGCAGGAAGAAATGAGGCGAGAATATCCATGAGGGAATAGAACACTGCATCCTCAGCATAAAGGGTTATAGGCTTTAACCTCATGTGGACGGAATGTATGCACATCTTTGTTGGGGACCGTTCAAGTACCAGGGACATGGTGTAGAGTGCATTGTTGTGAGAAATCTGAATTGCTCTTTCAATGGGGTCTAATGGTGAGATTCTGGGAGCAGATTCTGGATCCTGTCGAATAAGTATCACTGGAAAGTCGTATTTGCCTACAACAAAGAGTTGATTGTCAATTTGGGCATCACCAACAAATAGTATGAGCTCAACTCGCTCCTTTACACAGTAGTCCAGGGCACGAAGCTTCTCTGACAAGTCAATTTTAGGCCTCAAACTAACAATAAAGTTATCTAGTGTAACTCTCATAATCTCTGAGATGTTCTCTTGGTCACTGACATCATCCTTTAGGACCAGCACCACTTGCGTGCACATGAAGGAGCAATACACAACCATAGTTGCTTTACTGTTCTTTTCTTTGAGGGGGGCAACAGTGTCAGAGGAAGCCTTTTTCTCTTCTGTGTTTCCTATTTCTCTTTGGGGTTGCTCGTCTGGAGTGGCAGGGACGTCTGGGGGGTTGGCATGTTCCTCTTCAAAGACAAGGCCCTCCTTTTCCTTCACAACCCTGCCCTTGTTTGAGGAAGTGGCCACTCGCCCCTTGGATGGCTCTGCAGCTATCCGGCTCCTGATGTCCCTAGCAGAGACCTCCACTCTGCTGACAGGGTCGATAAACACGTGGACTGTGTGACCCACCTTCTCAATACGGACTTTCACATCTCCATGACCAGGAATGCTCACAAACTGATCATAATGCTGCTGGATGTCCACTCCCTGACTCCACAAAACCTCCTCAGATTCTGCTGCAAAAAAAGTAATGAGAAAGATATTAGAGATACTTATTATGATGATGATAATGATAATCATAATAAAGAAAAAAAATAATGGTGATGAAGATAATAATAATAATGTTAACTATAACAATAATAATAACAATGATAACAGCAACAATAATAATAATGATGATGACAATGACAAACTACAAACCTTGAAAAAAAAGCAAGTTGAAATAAAGAGAAGAAAGAGAAGAAAAAGAAAATCATTCCATATAATCAGTGGAATTACATGACTATAAAAAACTAAATCTTAACAAAAGCTCAAACTGAACTACTGCCTGGGTTTAACTTATCAAATATCATTACTGGCATAGACGGGGGAGGGATATAATGACATGAAAATAATTGGGAAAACATAAAGACACAATTCCTTTAAGTGAGGTAGGTGAGAGAAGAATTAAAAACCATCTTTCTATGAAAGCAACCATGGCAGACTCTATAATTATCAACTCACCATTATTGAGAACATCAGGCTGTGAGAAATGCAGGCGTGGGTATGCGACATTGTTTGACACAATATTTGGGAACCTTTGAGAGATGTAAGGGAAAGTGTAGTGGACGGCTTTGTTGGGTGGAACTGATGGCATTGCTGCAAACATGTCCAATTCCTCTTCCATGATCCCATCTTCTTTGGTTGAACTCTGGCCTGGTGACGATGAGAAAAATACATTCTATATGCTATAGGCTACAAAGAAGGTATGATTCTTTTGAGCAAACCATAGAGCTATTACTTACAACTTTTATAAAGAGCACAGCTATAAATATGATCATAATATAGATAAATATTTATTCCATCAGCCAAAAGTATCAACTATACAGCTTGATCCTACTCACCTAATATGAGTAAAGCTTTGGTGTTGTTGTGTATTATCATCTGTGGTGAAGGATCTTCTTGGACCACCATCTTTGTCTGTCCTTGATACTTGTGGGAAGTCACCAAGAAGGACCGATTCAGAATTGGGCTCTCTTGGTTATCTGGCAGTGTGAAAGTCATTCTCTGATCTGGGGGATTGTCCCTCACCACCACTGGATGTGCCTGATATCCGTTCTGACCTATCTGTATGCAGCAAAGTTCCTCATCTGAACTGGAAGCACCAGGATCCTTAAGAATGTGCCACATTAGGAGGGGGACTTCTTTCAGCTCTGCCGTAGCTGGTTTTGATGCTAAGTCCAGGGCTGGCAGAGACACTGGGAGCTGCACCTTGATGTCACCAGCATAGACATACATTGAGCGGATGGTCAGTTCCTCTTGGGTGTTGTTGGTGATGGAGTAAGTGGGAAGGAGGTGTAAGATCTGTATGTTCTCTTCATAACTGGACAATACTGTGATCAAGTATACCTTATCTTGCGTCAAGATGCGCAAATTAGTAAAACCTTCACGTGGTATCCTTCCTTCAAATTTGAGGCTGTACCACCTGTCTTCTTTGGACAACTGCAATGGCACAGTGTGGTACTGCTGATCATTATCAACTACCCCAATAGTAAAAAGTCCGTCTAGCTTGGGAGGAGCAAACACAGCACCAGGGGGCACAAACCAGCAGCTTGTTGACTCATGTTCACGCAAAGCAATTTCTATTCCTGAGTGGTTGATCATAAGAGCCCAAGGTCTTATATCCACCAAGAGAGTGTTGCACTGAGAGTAGATACCAGAGAATCCAACCTGTGGAAGCCATGTGATATTTAAAAAAATGTTTATTATCAATTATAAAGGTTATTTTCAAAAACAAAAACAAAAAAATCTTGAATATAAAATAAGAATAAAGAAAAATGGAAAGTATGCATACCTGCAGGTCAATCTTAGGCTGATCAGCAAAGAGAACATCCCCCATGAAGTTGGAAGTATCTACATATGGCCAACGTTCTTCTGGGCCGTCAAATAGATTCTGAAGGTACTGTGCTATGTCCACAGGTTCTTGAGAATGAGATAGTCGCATCTGATATACACCAAATAAATTAGTACAAATAAAATAAAAAGGGAGAATTAATAGCACTCATATATCAATCATCAATCAACATAATTCAACGCACAACTCCCATCTAGACATTATCTATTATGATTTGCAATCTTAGATAGTAAATCAGAGGCGAAGAGAGTTGAACATTAATACTGCCGTTGATGAATCCTAGCAAGGCTGGGGTTTATGATTAGATGTCATCTTCTGCCATCAGTTAACTTTTTGCCTGATAGGACATCATCTAGCATGAATGGGTTGAGGCATGAACAGTAAATAATCTCAGGTTGTAGTCTTAAAGTGATAATTATAAAAAAAACTTTACATTTAATGCCATTCTTACTCTGTAGTTTGAAAATGTAACAAATGAGAAGTTCCATCTGCAGCAGTAGATTCTTTTCACAGGGAAACTTAGGATTAACTCAAACAGAATACAGTGTATTGAATGTGTGGCAGAGATGTTGGCACTTCGCCCAAAAGTTCATGCTACATCCCATCCATTCAAAACATGGATTCATGGCAATCAAGTGCAATGATCTGGGTCAATAAAGGTAAAATGGAGGTAGAAACTGGAAGATGTTCTGATAGGCGTTTCAACCACCATATCACATCAATGTCTGGAAAATATCCTGGCACTTCACCCACCTGGTCAGCCATAGCTCTTGAAAGGGGAATGGGTGGACTTGAAACCTCTAACTCTGGGTTTAGTTGGAATGTCAACTGATGTGTGATGCCACCATCGCACTGTAGCGTATGTGTTTTTCCACGCCCCTTCACCACAACCTGGAATGAAGTGAGTGATACTCTCTTTGAGATAAGCGCTTTGGAAAAAAGGATGTTTATATAAATCATGTTATAAGATTTATGGTGTTTAGGCATATCTCTAACATGAAAATCCCATAAGGAACATTTACACATGTAGAAAATTCTATTCCCTATATTTTGCTACTGCTTTCACTCTTTCCTAGTAACAGAAGCTCATAATCAACTTTTCTGAATAAGGAAAATTCCTATCTTTTACCTGATGTGAAGTGTGATTGCTTGGAGTGTTGACATGAAGAATCAGGGGACGAGGAAGATGGGACCTGACCATGTACTGTGGGCTGAACACCACCAGGAGTCTCCACACAGAGCCTACTCTCTGCCTCAGCACACGACACCATGAAATGAGGCTCTCTCCCTTCATCTTCAACGGAATCTTCACCAGGAGGGAGTCCTTTGTCCGCTCGTATGACAAAGGAATCTCCCCTGACCATATTGTCTGGTTTCCCATCAATCGGACTCGTATTCCATGGGCCTCACCGATGTAGGATGGGGCTACAAACTTGCTTTGAAGCATGTGGGTGGCTGCATGCTTGGGTGAATCTTTTTCCTTGCCTGGTTCAATGATCCTGAATTCTAAATGTTCATTGAGGCAGTTGGCTATGGAAAGCAGTCCTGAGAATGTGACAAGCTTCTGGGTTGGTGACAAGTTCTCTAGGGCTACCAGGAAGTGAATGTGGTAATTTTCATGGTGAATTGTGCGTACCTGAAAAACAAAAGCCACTTGTTTTATGTTGCATAATGTTTCTTTTCCATGAATGCTGCAAAGCTATAATACTTCTTTTAGGTTCAGAATCACTCCCATTAGAACTCTCAATAGTAAAAAATATATTCACCATTTCTAATAATCAGTATTACACTTACCTGATATCCTTCTGTATCTAGCATGAATGGGTCACACCATTTCCACTTGCCTCCCTCCACGCACACATGCAGTAATGGTGGATATTTGTGACTCCTCCAGGAATACAGGTGGATTCCTCTGGAGCCAAGGAGTATATTCTCATCTGTCCCTACTTGCCCAAACCTAATAGTCTCCAGTGTATCATTGCATATGAGATAATTGGTCATATATATCACAGGGGATTTCTTGAGGAGGGCCAAGTTTGGTCCACATGCTACATCCGAAACTGTGGCTGACACCTGCAGCCAACTCTCATAGGCGACGTTCAGTGTGTGGATAATGGACTGGTTCACATGGATGAACATTGGTTTGACTGTGACTATGGAGTCAATGCAGTTAGGTTTATCTGGTCCCTCAGCATCTTGGGTGACAAGACTAGCTTCAATAAATGTTGGTTCCAGAAGACAACTGTTGGTTAAGAAGCTGTAGCTAAGCACATCAGTTCGCACGGATCCCCCTACCTGTATGTGAGCTGCTGAGGCCCAAGAATATGTGCGCATAAATGCATTCTCTAAGGTAAAGGTAAGGAAGGGTTGTTCTTCAGGTGCTAACCTATCTAAAGTGAAAAATCTCAGCTCTTTGGGCAGCTTGTTCCCAGTCAGGGCAAGATGATTGTAAAGAGTTACCTGTGCCTGCCCAACAGACACCACCGCTTGAGTTCTAGGCAACAAGTCCACAGAAAACATAGAATCTACCCTCATGCATGCAGCCAAGGCTCCTGGGGACACTATGATTTTTCCATCATGTGAGTCACTATCTTCTTCCCGGAAATCTATGCACACCCTCCACATAGATGACACTGCAATATGCTGTTTTTCATAGAAACTTGGCAGGTCCAACTGACAGAACTTTGATTCTGATAACTGGAACTGACGATATGTTATGAAAGTGTCACGCAGTGAATCAAAGTACTGAAGGGCGCACAAGACTTGATCTTTGTCTTGGGCATCTGCCATTGTGCTGAACTCAGAAGCAGCAACAAATGGAACAGGATAAATGTCAACTCTGGTCAGTGTCCGAGGTTCTGGGTAGCACCAGACCATGGTCCCTGCCATCTTGTCAAACACAACTTGGTAAGGCTTGGGATCCTCAAGTGCTAGACTCACGTACTGGAAGATCCCGGCTCGTAAGTCATCCTGGTACAGAATGTCATGAGGATGGTCTTCCTTCTTGGGTGGCTTGACCTGCTTCACCTCTTTTATTTCTTCACTTTCACTGTTCATGAATGTTGATATGTGCTGCCATAGGTCCATGAAGCAAAACAAATGTTCTGGGCCCAAGTCCACCATGATGGTTTCTGTATCAATTCTTATTTCTACATAAGGCTGAGTACTCCACTGGAGCCATAGCAGCTTCAGTTCCCCAGATACTGTCCATGGCTTAAGGAAAGTTTGAAGTTTTTGAGAATGATAGATAGTTTTCATGTGCAAATCTAGGATATCTGCATTGATGGTGATTTCTGAGATGACATCCAGTCTTGGATCCTGGGGCTGGGATGCTCTTTTGCGGGTGGTAGAGGTACAGAACTTTATTCCAGAAATGCTACAGTGAAGTTCTGTCTTGGCTTTGTGTGGCTTCATCACTTCACAGTTGACCACAACCTGGTTTGTCACCACTGATATGCTGTCAAAGTTGGACAGGGCCTGACGCAGAATCTCTGGAGAAGAAGCCTCTTGGGAGTCCAAGGAGCTGTCTGGCTTTGGAGCTGGTTTTGTGTCCGGAGAGGAGATCACCCCCAGCACTGGAGTGACTTTAGACAAGCTGTTCATAACATGGATCACTTGCTGCCAACGACTCTCACTTAGGTAGAGGCGTACTGGCCTTCCAACTTCAATATTTATGCATGCTGAAAAAATTTACATCGATCAAGAACTTCTAAAAAAAGTTATGTAACTACTAATATCCTAAAAAATATTCTAAATTTCTTATTCGTTTGTCAAGATTCTTTTATTAAATACTGCAAATAAGAAAGTTTAGTTATCAAGACAGGCTGATATTTCACGTTAAAAAACACAAATAATCAAACTAAATATCATATTACACCCTGTCTGACATCTCTGACTTCCATACTTAGTTCAAGGACTGCTGCAAAGACAAAGAAACTCTTTGCTTACCAGGCTTGTGTAGGAAATCAGTAGCAGAAATCACTAACAGAGCAGGAGGAATGCCTGTTTTGAGGTGTGGATCCCCTGGCCGTGTCTCGAGCCATGATGTTGTGTAGTCCTCTGCACTTGGCAGCTGTTTGGCTTCGGTGGCTGCATTACCGTCAAAGATTAAACATAAAAATAGTTTCATAAAATCATAAGTATTTACACATCATGCTCATTTATAAACCTAAAAAAACAGAATTGTCAATTTTCAACATTATCCTGCCATATCATAATCACTACAAAATACAATACAGTTATTAATAAATCAACAAATCAACATATATTCCTTACCTTTCACAGAAAACCCTTTTGGAACACTTCGCAGTATGAAGTTGAAGCAAGATATGTCCAGCTTTTGTTTTAGTGGCTGACAAGATAAGAACGCATGAGGCTGGGACACCACCACATACAGAAGGGGTCGAATGCGTGGCTGAGTGAGGTTCACTCCTCCCCCCTCACACACTGATCCTTCCTCTGAGCCCTCATACCTGCAATTGATATGAAAAACATGAATATATGCAAAATAAAATCCTAATCTACACATTTGTGTGTGCGCCCATCCACATCTGTAAATTTGTTATGCTACCATTAACTTGTAGCCTACGAATGATGTACGGTTCATGTCATGCCTAACTTGGCTGTGGCTCTGGGTGACATGCTGTTCATGTCATGTTACAAGGATGCGTGCTGTACATTTTATGCCATTCTGCATAAGGAACCCACAAACCAACACCACATGCTTGAGGGAGAACGGGATGTGTAATGCTATGATTGTCTAATGTTTTGTATAAAGGGTGAATTTTAGCACATAAATCATGACACGCTCTGGCTGCTGATGTGAACCTGTAAAAAACCATCACTCTTGTTTAAAAGATCTGCCTCCTTGTGTCAACTGCTCACACTGTCTCTTGGCACTCTGCCAGTGTGAATGTCTAGAAGTATGATAAAAATAAGGGAAGTACTGAAGCTGTTGGGGCAGCAGCCTTGTATATCACTGCAAACCATCTCGTATTTTGTAAAAATAAAATTTGTGAAAATGAATGATTTTTAAAAATATTTCATCCATCAATAAAAACCACATTCAATCTTATACACAGAGTGTAATATCTCTAATATACATAATTAGGCTACTACAGATTTGATCTAGCAATTAAAATGGATATTTTACATTTATGAATATGCATAAACATTAAAATCATGGTTTGCATACAAATGATAAAAGAAAAGAAAAGAAAAAGACATCACTCTGTTGTTTTTTCAGACAGGCCAGTTCGCTGAAAAAAGGCCCCGAAGGCAAGCCCCGTTGGCCACAGAGACTACTAGGAGCGAAAGCCAAGTCAACTCCATTTTCTCCTGGATGCAATGGGTTAAACATGAATGTTTGTACATTACATTTAAGTATAAATCACTTATCATCAAAATCTTGAAGACTCACCCATCTTCCACCTCCTTTTCTGATGGCGTTTCCACTCCAGTGTCCCGAGGTAATGTCCTCTGGCGGGTCTGTGGCAACCTCTTGGGTGAGGGCTCTGACTCTGTTGATGCGGCCTCAGCCACTAGCTCACGCTCCCTCTTTTTGGCTCTTTGCTCCAACTTACTGCGCTGCCAACCCTGAGGAAAGAAGAAGTATATAAGTTTTGTTTATTCTTTACTTTTGGATTTCCTTAAACTATTATCTAAACAGGATGAATGTCACATAATAATCATTTTCCTTATTGTTAGCACCATCATTTCTTTCATAGCATTGTAAGTACTGTGAATGTGAAAATTCACTATCACTTATCTATGATAATAAGTATTCTTATTAAATTTGATACCAATATATCATTCTTATCAGTAGTAATACAACTGGTTGTTGTTACACATCAATGAAGGTGTTTAGGTGTTACCTTCACACTCAATTTTTGCCCCTCTTCTAGAATTCCTCGGTCAAAGATGCTGGCAGTTATCTTCCCTCCTGTGACCAGCAGTTCCAGTGGCACAAACGACCAGGAGCCACTGCTTCCCGTGGACTTCTGGCTAGCCATTCCTTTTGAGAGTTCTACTGATGATATGTCACAGTCCACGCCACTGTCCTGGATGTCCAATGGCATCTGTGAAGCTTGGCCTTGTCTGCCACTTGCTATCATCTGGGTTATCAGTCTGTAAGAGAACTGGAATGAAAACTTGTGTTCTTCCTAACTTAACTCTTCAGTCTACCCCTTTATGTACATATTTAGAAAGCTAGTTTTGAAGCATTACCTTAATGTTTGCAGACATAACTTTCCTGCACATAAGCAAGATATTCAGCTAACAATATCATTTACTAATTTCAACACCTTTACTCTTCTGAATCATCATATACACATGATACTCAAAGAAACTTACATAATACTGAAATTTCACAAATGCATGATCTTATGTGCAACTCACCTTGTCGTATCCTCAACAATATCCTGAAGGAGACAGATCTGTGGCAGACTTATATGGAGGTCAATATCTGAAGTGGCATTTATTTCTAGCGAATGACCTGCCACCAAAGTAGGGGATGACACCCCATCCTCTCCTTCAACTCCTCGATAAACGATGGCTGGAGCTGCAATAATTCTGCTGTCAAATCTGTGTAGAAAGTGAGAAATTACTCAAACTGGCTGCATTAATGATGAATATAGTTTACACAAATAAAATTGAATCATGGAATAAATCTTGCAAGAACATTCCACTACTAAAGACATGTCTTAATGTAACAAGAATTCATCATAAGTCAGCTACTTTACAACACTTTGACATATACTTGCCTTGCAATGAATGGATGAAGAATAATGTCTGTATCTTTGTTATCTTGTGTTGGATCATAATTGTTCCACTCTAAAGCTGGATTCTCCCCCATAACTCGCAACCGTTCACCAGAAGAACTCCTAGGTCGTCCTCCCTTCACACTCACCAGGTCATACCAGGATCCTAATGGGAGAAGAATGATGTATCAAACTGTATAGTTATCCCTCTATTGCTTAATTAACTCATGTGCAGTAAAAAAGCCTAAATCCAAAATTGATTGAGAGATATAGTGACATTACCATTACAAAGAAATGAGGATATTTTACAGCTACACTTCTGTATTACGGATTGAAAATGATCAATTTCTACCGTTATCTATACTGTAGTACACATCTAACTCACCTGTACTAACACTAAACCCAACAAGGTCAATTTGGTACTGCCGATCCTCAACGTCTGATCCTGGAACACCCAGTATTCTAGCTCTCTCTGCCATGTGGAAGATGTCAGGTCTTATCATGATTCGCGACAAAGGGTTGTCTACTTGAGGAGTGATCACAGTAGAGTCAAGCTGAACCAGGAACATATTGTGAACTGAGGAATCCTCACTAGAGGTGTCACGAGCAGGGAGAAACAGACGGATGCTTTCCGTGTGGAGGTAGATCAGTGGCAGTGTATGATTGTTCAGGTTCATACCCACTGGTTCTTTGGAGATGGTCCTACCTTTCTGGATGAGCTGCTTGGGAACCTGCAGCTGCAACCAAGGATCATACACCGAAGCAAAAATATGCAAGGAAGCAGGGAAACAGACGCAGTCAAACGGTTGAACACGTATGTCTACTTCACTTAAATAGTGGTCTGCATTTCTGTCACTTGGTAGAGCCCTGAAAAAATTAAACAAGACAAGCTCAATAAATTTTACCTAGAAAATAGGCATTAACCAAGTCTACTCTGTTATAAAGTATCTAGTAAAAAATATATATATATATTATGCAATATATAATGTAAATTGTGCATCAACAGCTGCATTAAGCTATTCATATTCATGCCTTACCTATCTTCATTTAAGTGCTTCTTGATCAGTGAGTTCCAACATGACTGTATATTCTTGCATAGAGCTGTTGTGACAGTCAGTGAAACAAATCCATGCTGTTTGGGCTGCTCGGTTGGTATGTTGTTGGTCCTGCCACAGTGATAGTGTGGGTCTACCGTGCCATTTCGAGGGTTGATAACCTTGAGGTCATGAGTCAGCTGGTCTCCACAAGTCATGACAACACCTTCATGTTCACCAGCTACCCATGAATTATTCCTAAGGTATATAAAAATCATTTTCAGTGTCTTTAAGAAAGAATGTGTATTACAATGTTTTACATTTTGAGAAAAAACAAAACAAGCAGTTTTCATAGAATTACTGTCAGAAACTTTAACAAAGTAAAATGCATTACTTTTATTTTTCCAATGTCACACAAATCTGAATAATGCCAACCTTCTTGTGAAGTGGAGAATACTGACAGATGTAACCTTAACTTTAGCCTTAGAATATACTTTATGAAGATCTAAGGCTGTTGTCAGGTCCTCCAACTCTGCCCGAAGCTTTCTCTGCTCAGGCCCACTGTTTGCATAGAGTGAGGCTGACACTCTTGCCACTGTCCACTGCACCCACACAGTGACTATGGGGCCTGTGTTTGTTTGCACCTCTGCCTCACTCACCACTTGGACTGGAAGTATTAGATTTATAATTCTGTAGTGAATTAATTTGAACATTGGGGTGAACAATACAAATACTAATACAAATATTAGAACCTACAACATGGACATATCAAGTCTTGAATACAAGGATTGTTAAAAGAAAAGAAAAAAAGGAAACCATAAAAGAGACACCTTCATACCTCTCTCTTCCTCAACCTCCTCCACCTCAGTCACCATCAGTGTGTTGGGGTCAGAGCTACTGTGGTGAAGCTGTTTTGGGGGTGACTGCTGTGTAAGGTTAGACTGCTGTGTGGATGGCTGTTGTACAGCTGATGTTGGTGTTGACTGCTGGTGAGGTGGGTGAGTGGTGGGCACGGAGGAGGCTTCCATCACAGGAGGGGGAGGGGCCGGCGTTGATGATGTGGAAGAGGTCTGTGGAACATTAAAAAAGGCAATATGATAAATGATTAAGCAATGATTACACTAGTTGCATATAGCCTGGATCCCCAGACAGGCACAGCAAGTGTCTGATCAGGTACAAGGAGGATTGGTAAACAGTGTTCCCCTGCAGAAAACCATCATTCTAGGAAAGACCATAGTGATCCTTCTAATATCAACAATTCTGGCACTTTGTAAATTTATTCTATCATTAGTATATTCATGAAAACATTATAATAGAGAGTGAAAGATAACCCACCTCTTCCTGCAATGTATCCATGAATAGCGAGGCAAGGCTGAGCAAGTTCTCTACAATTGTGACATGCCCTACAACCTGGCAGCGGCTTCCATAGAAATCCAGGGGGGACATGTCAGTGTGTATGACAAGGCCAAGCTGGTTGAGAGATGGTCCCTGGAGAGTGCAAATAAATAGAAGCAACACTGAACAAAACATCTTTTTATTTTTTGATGTCCACTCTGTATGTTAAGTTATCAATAATCTCTGATTATGGAGATTATGAAAAGAGATTATGAGATCATAAAAACAAACTCTACACTGTTTTCATATAAGCAAAAACTAACTCCATCATCTCAAACCTGATACACAGTAGAAATGGCAAGTGTAGCAGTTGTATTAACAGGTTTCAGAACTTGCAGCTTCACATGTTGGCCAGATCCCTGAAGGCTGTACACACTGAAGCCAGCAAGACTCAGAGACCAAGGCAATTTGTCTCGGCCTTGGAGGAGAAGAGGGAATAAATGAATACCATGTTACATTGTTCTTAAAAGCTTATTGGTGCTGCAACCTGG